GCTGATGTGCTGTTCCAGTCGTTTTTGGATAATCTTCAGTAAAATCTTGCTTGCATGTGAAATCAGTGAGATTGTTCTGTAGTTTCTACATTCTGTTGGGTCACCTTTCTTTGGTATCCCAAATATCGATCTCTTCCAGTCAGTTGGCCAAGTGGTCGTTCTCCAGATTTCTTGGCACAACTTTGTGAGCACATCCAGGGCAGTATCTGTTAACTGAATCCAGAAAAAGCTCCTGGACTATCAGCTCTCACTCAGTGGCAATGAGTTGAATTTGAGTTTCCCATAATTCAGCTGAAAACCCTGATAAATCAGGGGCCTGGAGAGTAGCCGTGGCAGAAGAATGAGTGAGTGGCTGGCAGTTGGCACAGACATATGACCAGCGGACTGTCTTCTCTCCAAGTTCATCATACCTAGTGGCTTTGCAAGCAAGAAATGTCAAATTCTATTGTGAACAAAAAGACTTAATAACTCTTTGTATTATTTGGTGTGGTAAAGGAACTTATCATTTCGATTTTGTTTTCAAAATCACAGCTATCATACTGTTTTTCCCCCCAAGATGCTTTTTTATTCTTGACTCATACATTGAACAAGTACGGATTGTGGTGGAGTCAAATCCCATTTTCATATTTGTTTTCCTTAGTTTTTTTGAAGGGAATTCTGGTGGCCTAGTAGATAAGGAGTTGCATGGAAGAGTAGACTTGCACAATATTTGTCCTTTTATGACTGACTTATGTTACTAAATGTAATTGTCTTCCAGCTCATGTGTACATGAAGCGTTTAATGGATTTTTTATATTATTCTTTAACAGTTTTGGGGTTTAGATAATGAGGCCTTAGATTTAGTGTTAAGATTTCTTTAAAGGTATAGTCAGTTTTTCAATCTACAGGTTGCTGGGACACTCACCTCATCCTGAGGCTGCTTTTACATAATGAACCCTTTTCTTTTCTGCAGCTCCAAGTAGTTGACTCTCAGTTTGTTCAGTAAAGAGAATGGTTTTGTAATTGCACCTTTCCCTTCAACAACAGAGGTGACACTTGCTTCCCCACATCCTCTTAAACTCTTCATTTGGCTCGTGTGGGGACCCTCTTCACCACCATGGTCTCAGGTGTTTTTGTGCCCTTGTGGTAATCTTTCTTTGGAGAAGATACCAAGAGTGAGAGCCAGATTCTTTTCCTGACTGCAGTCCCTATGCAGAAGCCCCATGCAAGGAATTCTGGTCTGATGCCACCAGGCACATCCTTGGAACTTTGGTCCTCATGCCATCAGCCTGCTCCTGGAACTTCTGTCTTGACATACATGCCCACACTGGTAGCTGATGCGCGCCTGGAGTGATGCTGGAACTTGAATGAGGTACTTTGTGGAGGGTCATTGTTGTTTGGCTGGATCATGAGGGACCCTTTAAGCTCAAGCAGAAGGGAGTGAGACAGCTGGAGATCATTCTTTTTTTTTTTTTAAATTTTAATCACTCATCTTTATTGATAAAATAGTTTCCTGTGCAGTAAATAAGACATAAATTTAAACTTCTGCTTTAAACAAAAGGTATGGGATGGAAAACTTGCTACACAACAGACTTCAAAGTACACAAACACTTTAAAGTTAAATTTTTAAAACAACACAATTTTAAAAGTACATCCAAGGAAGAAAACCAAGAATAAATTAAGCCTACTTAATGATTTACAAAAATAATTACGAAGTGATGTTTTATAATAGAGCTGCCTCAATGAATTGCCTCAGACTCTGTAGCTAATTTTCTCTATTACTTGGGATAAAAACTATGTGGAATTGCAAACAAATTAAGAAATATTTCCCTAAAGCCAATAGAAAAGTTTATAAATAAAAACTGTCATTTATAAAATATTAAGGCCTCTGGATAAGAAAAAAAATCTAATGTTTGGGTCATTAGCC